GGCGTATGCATCAAATGTATCACAGTATTATAAGTATATGTATGATACGTTGCACGTTATGTATATTAATTTTTATGATATTCAATATGTCTTTTTACAATAATCAATCAATATATTGCATTTATGTCTTTTTATAATAATCAATATATTGCATTTTGTATGTATGCCAACTTTTTATACTGTTCCGTATGTAAGGTAATTGTTTATATCATTCAATATATTTTACAATAATCAATGTATATGTATGTTTTTCATATTTTTATACATGTTAATTTTATAATAATAATCTACATATGTTTTTTATATTCCTACTTATGTTTTTTATATTCCTACTTATGTTTATAAAAGAATATGATACTGTTGGAAGGGAGGATAATATCGTATACAATTTTATATTTTTCATGTACACATATATTCTTTATATATGTTTTAATTATATATGTTAATTTTATAATAATAATCTACATATGTTTTTTATATTCCTACTTATGTTTTTTATATTCCTACTTATGTTTATAAAAGAATATGATACTGTTGGAAGAGAGGATAATATCGTATACAATTTTATATTTTTCATGTACACGTATATTCTTCATATATGTTTTTACAATAAAAACGACTCAAACCAAAGAATCTTTGTGTATCCACGAATTGTGTGATCCATCGAATCCCAACCACTTCACGTACACCTCGTCCCCTTTCCTGCGCAGCACCTTCTCCACGAGATACACGTCCGGATACGTCGCGCGATGCAACTCGTGCTCGTAGAACCCTCCGGCGACTGATTTTCCGCGATAGTCCTCGAGCAGATAGGTCACGGGATTGGTACGCTGTACTTTCGCGATCTTGAACACCTCGGTGGTCCAATTCGGCGTGTAACCTTTCTCGAAAATCGTCTTGTACTTGCTCACGCGTACCGAATCGCCTACTTTGAATCTCGCTGGACCCGCGATCTTTATCGCGCTGTACACCGTTTTCAAGAGTCTCTCGGCGATCGCGGGAGTCACGGCGGCGGGACGCATGCCGATGGTGCGATGCTTGCGCGCGTTGTAATCCGATACGAGATCCGGCAGGGCGTCGACCCACTTGTACGCGCCGGTGAGCGTAAACATCTTCCACATATCGTTCTTGAGCGTGCGATTGAACCTCTCGACTATCGATGCCTTCAGCACCGAATACGTGGAATAATGATTGACATTGCGTTTCCTCAGGAGTTTCTGCACATCGGCGTTGTAAAACTCCTTCCCCATATCCGTTTGCAGGTTTTTCGGACATCTTCCGCTCTCGCGAATTATCGCGGCAAGAGCGGCAGCCGTCTCGCTTCCGCTCTTGCTCCTGAGCGGCACGGCCCACGCGTACTTGCTCAACGCATCGATGACGGTGAGTATGTAGTGGTAGCCTCTGTTGTGACGCGAGTACGGGCGCATCTCGACGATATCGGCCTGCCACAGATCGTCGTATCCTCGAATTACAACGCGTCTTCGCGGAAAGTTTCGTCTGGCCGGAGCGTGCAACTCCTCGACGAGTCGTCGCCTCTCGACGCTGTTCCGACCATTGACACTCATGTCGCGATATACGTAAAAACACGCAAAACTGACGCGAATCGACTGACTCGTTTTCTCGATGCGCGATTCAATTTATAATAATGCCGGCTTCGCGAAGTTCCTCGACTATCGACAGTATCTCGTTGTCGTGAGCGTTGTTGCCCGCGCGACGGGAAGCGTCGAGCAATCGGAGTCGATCCACCAGCTCGTTGGGATCGTCCCAGTGAACGTAATCGATCTCGTTGTCCGTCAACGTCATGGCGACAGGCAAGCCCAGTCCCTTTCTACGTTTCAGATGCTCGGATATGAGCGGCTTGATAAACTCCGTGTACTTCGTTCCCCTGTTCCCTGATGCGTTCGCCCTCTTTGTAGGCACGGTTGTAGAGGTTCGTTGCCTAATTATACTCTTGTACGTCATGTTGTCGGGAAGGGTGATGAATTGTCTATCGGGCTTTTTCATGAAGATCAATTCGTACAATCCTGCGTGCCGCGGTACCTCACGTTGTCCACGAGTATAGCATCGTCCTTTTCAAGTCAAATTGTTTGTCCCGAGCATCAAACGTCCATCGTGCCGAAATAGATACCGTTCGAGTGATCGATCTCCCTCTTTCTGTCCTGACCGAGGAACAGGTCCATGTACTTTTGCCCGAGCGGCCCCAGTTGACTGTGCAACGCATCGCGACTCCGTCGCGATCGCATGCTCTCTCTGACGGTCGTTTCGAGCAAGTAAGGGTGTCGACGCAAAGATTCCTCCCGCGGTAGTACCGTCGGTTGTTCCTCGATGCATCCGCCGGCGGTTCTATCCTGACACAGAACTGAGCGTGGGTAACGCGACGTTCCATTTCTTTTGCTTTTTGCGCGGTGTTTGCTAGGCGTTGACGCGACTCTGAACCATTTGTCGTCATCCTCGGATCGCTATCCACGCGTTCCTTCTTCCTCTTGATCTGGCAGCTCGGCGACAGCGTCGGTCTCGGCTCTCTTGACACTCGTCGCTGCGTCGGCCTCTCTCTTGACACTCGTCGCTGCGTGGCCTCTCTCTGATCGATTCCTCGCCACGGCATGCTCGGCGATCTGTTTCAGAGGTTCGACATGGGTTTGAAGCGTCTCTCCAACGCGATATCCTCGTCTATTCTCCAGTTTTGAGAGCGCGATGCTTCTTGCGAATCGACTCGCTTGTTTTCGCGATCTGCTTCGCTATTTTCTCGCGATCCTTGATATTAGCGTCCATTGTGTGTTGTCCAGATGACATATCGACGTTGACTAATCGCGCTACGGTACCGCGAACTCGTTAAATCCTTTTCTGTATCGCCCGTTGTCGAGCGGACTGTCCTTGTCGATCACCAGGAATCCGTACTTGTGCCGCCAACAGGTGCGGCACAAATCGCCGAAATCCTCGTACGACATGTCGGTGTTCACGTGATCGTTGTAAACGTGCCTCAGATTGGTACCGTCCTGTTTGAACAGGATCAGCAGGTTTGCGTTGTCGCGTATCAGATGTTTCGGTATTCTCGCGTACGTCTGACAGAGATAGAAGCAATCGACGCTCGAGTGGCGGCCCATCGAGAAGTATTCTCTCACCGTGTCCTGCTTGTCGCACGCAACGTCGTCGAAGACGAAAATCGAGTTGGGGAGCGCCTCGTTCGGTGGAACGACGTCGCTGCAGTTGGAGAACGTGAAATAGCCAATCTCGTCGATCGATGTCAACAATCGCTCGAGATACCGATACTTTGGCTGTTGCAGCGATTTCGAGTAAACATACACGTTCTCAAAACGCACACCGTGCGGACTCTCGAGCAGGCTCACGAGCACGTTCGTTTTGCCGCAATTCGATGGACCGCACACGATCGCGCGTATGGTGTTCGGCAGCAATTCGCCGTGTCGGCGCTCCGTCACGCCGACCCCCGTCGCTCGCGATCTCTCGTCGCAGTTCGTGACGCGTATCGCCAACGGTTGTCGCACGAATCTCATGGTTTCTTGCGTACCTGAACTGCACCTGACCGTCTATTTATAGACGCGCGAAATCGCGAATCGCTCAGTACCAAACATGTATCTGCGGTGACGCATCCCTCCGACGTTCTCACCTGGAGCGCCGAGCAGTTGCAATATATACCGAAGATCGTACTGTTGCGCGTGTTCGGCGACTATATCGAGCACGTGTGGGACCGGCTGCCGGAGCACATGAAGGTGGATTCGGAGGTGCGAACCTATCGTCGCTGCCTCGATCATTACAATCTGCCGCGACAGCGGACGCACATCGACGGTCCCGCGCCACGGATAAAGGATTGCGGCGAATGTCAGCGGGGAGCGGCGGCTTGCTGAATCGCGCGATCAACGCACTTCCGTTCGAGCTACATATTCCCGGCTATCAGTTTTGCGGCCCAGGCACTCGTCTGCTGAAACGATTGGCCAGAGGTGACACGGGTGTGAATCCATTGGACGCGGCGTGTCGCGAACACGATATAGCGTATTCTCGTAGCAGCGATCTCACCGACAGACACGCGGCGGACGAGATACTCGCCAGGAGAGCCCTGGGACGCGTTGTCGCGAGAGATTCGACTCTGGGTGAGAGAGCCACAGCTGCGCAGTCTGGGCTGCGATGAAAGCCAAAACCAAGATCGGCATGGGTATGAAAGCGAAAACGCGCAAGAGGAAGACGGCGAAGAAACGAATACTTCCGTCGGCGAAACGAGGCGGCGTGCTACCGATTCTGGGCGCGCTGGGCGCGATCGGCTCCCTGATCGGCGGAGCGGCCAGCGTGGCGAAAACGGTAAACGCCAGCAAAGCCGCGCGACGTCAGCTCGAGGAGCTGCAGCGTCACAATCGCGCGATGGAAGGACGGGGGCTACACCTCGCTCCGTACAGATACGGACGAGGACTGCATCTCGCCCCGTACAAATATGGTCGGGGCACAGCAGCGGCGAAGAAAGGAAGGAAAAAAAAACGTCAAAGAGACGCTAACGATCCCAGGGGTGCGACTACCGACGTGCAATTGGACGGCTGGCGCGGATCGCGCGCGTACCGTACTTCAGAGGCGTTTTCATGCGTAACGCGTTACCGAGTGGGGCGCGCGTCGATGCGAGAGCGGTATCGTGAATCTGGACGACGCGACGGGTCCCGGTACTCATTGGGTGGCGTACGCGAAGAGAAACGATCGTCGCGTATTTCGACAGTTTCGGCAATCTTCGACCCCCAGGGAACTGGTGCGATATTTCGGGAACGGTGCTGCCACGATCGAGTACAATCGAACGTCCTATCAAACGTACGATCAGAACGTCTGCGGACAGCTGTGTCTGCAGTTTCTCCTAACGACGCGCTTTTGAAATAAAAACCCTTAAAAAGTCCGACGAGGTGCCGCGGGATCTCAGTCTCACGCTGTTTTTCCATCATGTCGATGACGCTAACGCTGAGCGGGAGGAGCAGCGTCCTCGCGGCGTACCACTCTCCGCCCATAGATCTGAGCGACGGCGACTACGAGCTCGGCCTGACGATCTTCGAGACTTACAACGCGATACCGAACGTCAACGCCTCGAACAATAAGTTTTACTTCGACGACACGGAAATCACGATTCCCGAGGGATCGTACGAACTGCGAGCGATCGAAGCCTTTTTGAAAAGCGAAATTCTGCAACAGAGAGGTGGAACGTCCGACTGGAACAAGGCCGACCATGACTATCCGATAGTGCTCCGCGCAAACACAACACGCTGAGATGCGAGATCTGGTGCGCCTACAGAATAAACTTTAGCAAGCCCAACAATATCGGATCGCTGCTGGGATTTTCGCCGCTACGTGTACTGCACCGCGACTGTGGCACGAATCGGACGAGTCGATCAACATAATGAACGTGAACATTATCCGTGTGGAGTGCAACGTGACCGCGGGAGCGTACAGCAACGGCAAGAGCGCGCACACGATCCACGAATTTTCGCCAAGCGTGCCAGCGGGATATAAAGTGTCGGAAAGGCCGTCGCAGATCATTTACCTGCCGGTCATCGTACAGAACATTACGGATCTGACGATACGCGTGGTCGATCAGAACGGACGATTGCTCAATTTTCGTGGAGAGGAGATCACCGTCCGATTGCACGTGCGACGGCGCTAATCGCGAGCGAGCGTGAGATGCTCGTGCTGAACGAGCAGAGAGATAACGCAAGGCCGGTTACGTCAGCACCGCGAGACATCGCTCCTCGTCTGGTCGGAACAAGAGGCTCACCGCGTCAACCAAAATTTTTGCAAACTCTGGGATTCGCGGTGCGACCCATTATGATGACCGGCATCCTGAACGTCGGAGACGAGCCGATCTTCGATGATCGTATCGTCAAAATCGAGACTCACGCGTACAACCCGTTGCCAACACGACATTTGGTACAGCGACGAGATAAGAATACCCATACAGCAACAGGATCTGTACACATTGCCGTGCGACAGTTATCTGTATATCGAGGGAAAACTAACGAAGAACAGAAGGATGAGGGAGCTGACGTGGTTTTGACAAATAATTGCGTCGCGTTCATGTTCGATGAAATTCGATACGAACTCGACGGCGTGGAGATTGATCGCTGCAGAAACGTGGGCATAACTAGCACGCTCAAACATTATGTCACAACCTCGTCCGACAGAAGCGTGATTCTGAGGAACGCCGGCTGGGACCCGCTCACCAGCAACGAGGGATTCTTCAATTTCTGCGTACCTCTCTATGCGCTGCTGGGATTCTGCGAAGATTACAAACGCGTGGTGATCAACGCTCGTCACGAGTTGATTCTTATACGATCGCGCAACGACAACAATTGTCTGACGGGAGATGAAGCGACGGAACCCTGGATTGAATTGTCGAAGATACAATGGCGAATGCCGCACGTGTTACTGAACGAAATAAACAAGTTGTCGATGCTGCGCGCTCTGGAGAGCGGGCGCTACCTGAGCATGGCTTTTCGCTCGTGGGATCTGTACGAGTTTCCGCTGTTGCAGCAGACGACCAAGCATTCGTGGGCCATAAAGACCGCTACTCAGCTCGAGAAGCCGCGATACGTCATCTTCGCTCTGCAAACGGGTCGAAAGAACGTCATGAGCGAGGACGTGAGCCGATTCGATCACTGCAACCTGACGAACGTGAAACTCTATCTGAACGCGGAATGCTATCCGTACGACGACATGAATCTGGATTTCGTTAGGAACAAGTGGGCCGTTCTCTACGACACGTACGCGCGTTTTTGCAAGGGGTACTACGGATACGAGTATCTCGAACCGAGTCTCACCACCACAACATTTTTACGCAACGGCCCGTTCGTGATCATCGATTGCTCTCGTCAGAACGAATCGGTCAAGAGCGCGACCGTGGACGTGAGACTGGAATTCGAGACCAAGGAGAACGTGCCGTTGAGCACCACCGCGTATTGCCTTATCATACACGATCGCGTGATTCAGTACAACCCGTTGACCAACGTTGTTCGCAAGATCATCTGAGCGCATCCTCCTTTCTCCACCACTAATACTACAGTTTTTGTTTAATATAAACGAACGAACCATCGAAGAGCGGTTTACTTCCTCTCGGCGACGACGACAGTCATGCCCGTGCCAACGTTTGTGGACCTGCAAGGTTTCCTCGTTGGAAAGAGATTCGTCGCGAAAGAAGTGGCGGTGCTGAGAAGAGGCACAGTTCTCTCGCATTACATTTTCGAGAGCCCCCTACCATGGAAATTTTTGACAAGATCCGACAGGTCTTGCGCTTCCTGGTTAATTGCATATCACCATGGATTGAAATGGGAAGACGGTGCGATTCCGTACAGCAGAGCGAAACGTCTGATCGCGACGGCTGTATTTGGTGCAGCGAGAGGGGATGAAGAGGAAGATGACGTGTACGTCAAGGGACCCGAGAAACGCGAGTGGCTGCGGGCCTTGCTCGATGAGCGAGAGCGCGCGAACATCGAGACCCTGGATGTCGATTACAAGAACGTAGATTCGCTGAGCGAGCTCGACGCCGCTGGTACCGTGCGATGCGGATATCACAATGCTCATTGCGCGTTGCAAAATGTATTCAAACTGTACAATTGGTGGTCGCATAATCGTAAATAAAACACGCGATATGTACGCTGAAATATGACATTTATTCCTTTCCCTCCCACCATTACGTACTGTCTTACGTTCATGTTTTTTTTTATACACATTTTCATGTTTTCATGATCTCACGTTCACGTTTTCATGTTTTCATGTTTTCCATTCACGTTTTATGTTCATGCTTTTATGTTTTACGTTCACGTTTCCACGTTTCATGTCAACGTTTTCTTGTTTTACGTTCACGTTTTCATGTTCATGTTTTCATGTTTTCATGTTTTACGTTCACGTTTTACGTTCATGTTTTCTTGTTTTACGTTCACGTTTTCATATTCATGTTTTCGTGTTTTTCATGTGTACGCGTTTTCACGTTTGCCACAACAAACACGTCGCGACACGTTTCTTTTGTTTACATTTGTTCATGTTTGATAAAATGCGAAGAGGGGAGGGGGTTCCCCCTCTTAACAAAATTATATAAATAATTAAAGGGAGGGGGTTGATTCTATATTACGTAGCATTTTTGCGCGAGCGCGATCATTCCACAGTTGGAACGACTCAGAATAGTGGTCATCAGCTCTCGCAAACAAGATACCTACGCAAGATGGCCAATTTCTACGTTCCAATCGAGGCTGTGAGTGAGAAGCCGTAAGTATCCATTTGTGTATCTTTATCATGAAATTTTGTATATAAATTTTTCCAGCATATAACTCATCCGTTTTCATTTTTCTCTTTTCAGTCCATCGAGCGTGTCATCGAACGTGCCACGCATTTTGAGAAGGCGATTGGCATTGACTCATACGTCCTACAAATGGCTGGACATCGGAATCAACGCCGGACCTTTGTCCACGATCGATCTGACGATCGGCGACAATCGCGGCAACTGCATCGTTCTGTCTCACGAAACTTGGAGAGCGCTGATGGATAGGCGCGCGGACGTCGAGCGACTCGTGCAGTCAACTCCGACATCATCGCCATCGTTATCGATCTGTGACCAGCTGACAGTGCGACTCGTGAAAATACGCGACGACAACATCGTTGCAAAATTGGCAACGCGCGACGCTTTTATTTACATGAAGCCCGCGACCGTGCTGTTCACGCTCGAACTCGAGTATTGCGTCGAGAACATATACATCGACTTGCGGCAAACTGTAATTACCGTTGACAATCGGTACAACGCATTCGTATCTTTCCTGCGCCAGAATTGCTTTACGAATAGATACGACGCGGCGAATATTCTGCGTAAAATGTGCGATAAGAGTTCAGATCGGAAGAGCACACG